GGCGCGGGTCCTGCCGCCCATGCTGTGCGTTTGGGCAGCCTGTGGGCCTGTGGGCCTGGCTTTGCACTCAGCTTCCACCCCTTCCTGTGGTGGTTTGACTTGGGGCGAGGCGTTTAAGTTCCCGGCCTCGGTTTCCCCATCTGTTACACGTGGAAAACAACTCTATTTATTACAGCTTTGGGAGAGGAATTCGGTTCTGCCGAGGCGTGGTGTGCGAAGGGGAGGGAACCATCCAGTCACCTTTCCTTGGTTCCGGGCCTCGGGCCTCCACCAGCGCTCACCCTGGCCCAGGGGAGGGAGGGAGAAGGCTCCATCCAGGGCTGGGCTGGCGGCAGAGCAGGCGGGTCTCGGTGGCTCCCAGGGGCGTCCGTCCGGGGCCAGCGGCTGCTTCTCTTCCCCAGACCATCCTGGACCACATGCACCTTAAGTGCAAGTGCCACGGGCTGTCGGGCAGCTGCGAGGTGAAGACCTGCTGGTGGGCCCAGCCCGACTTCCGCGCCATCGGCGACTTCCTCAAGGACAAGTACGACAGTGCCTCGGAGATGGTGGTGGAGAAGCACCGCGAGTCGCGCGGCTGGGTGGAGACCCTGCGCGCCAAGTACGCGCTCTTCAAGCCGCCCACCGAGAGGGACCTGGTCTACTACGAGAACTCGCCCAACTTCTGCGAGCCCAACCCCGAGACGGGCTCCTTTGGCACCAGGGACAGGACTTGCAACGTCACCTCCCATGGCATCGATGGCTGCGACTTGCTCTGCTGCGGCCGCGGCCACAACACGAGGACGGAGAAGCGGAAGGAGAAATGCCACTGCATCTTCCACTGGTGCTGCTACGTGAGCTGCCAGGAGTGCATCCGCATCTACGACGTGCACACCTGCAAGTAGGGAGCCAGGTAGGGTGGCAGGGAGGGGAGATGGGGTGCGAGGGGTGGGGGGGCTTGCTGCCGGGACCTGGCTTGGGACCTGGCTTTGCCCATCTGCTCTTCCTGCCGACCCTGTTCTAGTTCTCAGCTAACAGAGACACACGTCCCCAAGTGTGTGCTCTTGAGGCTGCGAGCAGTTGATTAAAATTCTTGTACCTGTTGGTTAGTTATGAGCCAGGCCACATTTGTGTCCAGCCACTGGCTCTCATTACTGAGCATCTGTGGAGACAGAGGAGGGACAAGGGTTGGAAGCTGGACACCTGACCTCTGGGGCCAACTTTGCCCCTAACTTCCTGTGCCGTCACTTCTCTGGGCCTGTTTTCTTGCTGTAAAACAAGGACGTTAAAAATACTTGAAACAGTAGGCCGAAGTCTCCTCTGCAAACCCTGGGGCAGAGTCATTCTGCACCCACCTTGAACTTCGAGGGCAAGTTTTTGCACAAGCGTAAACCCTACCAACCTCAGGGAGGTGGGTGGGGGGAAGCTGTGTATAAGCCCATATCCTGACACATCTGAAGCTTGGGTGGAGTGGGTGCACTCTCACGGAGTTTATGGATGGGGATGGGGAGGAGGAAGGAGTCAAGTTCAGAGTGACGGTGGTGAGTAATCAAAGGATCAAAGGCTGGTGGATTATGCTGCCAAGCTTCCCAGAGGTGGCCAGCGTGGGAGACGGTGTGCCTGGCTCTCAGATCCATAGTCCCTAGATAGGTCCTGATGGATGCAGGGTGGTCCTAGAGTCCTGAAGATGGAATGTTTGAGGCCAGTATGCCCTTTCTCCCTTTTCTCTGCCCTGAGAAGGAGCCTAATATACAAAGGCATGAACCCTGGGGTAGCTCCCGCCACTTGCCAATTGTGGGACCCCGACAAGATTGTCTTTACACGCCAGTCTCCTCATCTGTCATCCTCCCTAAGGGGGTTTGAGGAAAACAGGAAGAACAATGGGAACAGTGATTGGTTTACGGCAGAGGACTTGCCTGCCTGGGTCATTGCTGGCTGGGGCTGTGTCAAGGAAAGGCACTCCACTGGGCCCTGCAGTTCTACACAGGGCGCCTCGGAGCTGGGGTGCTGGCTTGTGCTAATGGGACTGTTGGAGGGAACCCGACATCATGGGGAGAGTTCTGGTTGAGGGGTGACTAAACCAGTCCATCTGGGAAGCCCCTCTGTGTAGCTGAAGTCAGGGGCAGTCTAGAAGGGTGGTTCCCTTTCCACTGCTTAGCAGCCCTGGAACCTTCCACCCGTTTCCTCATCTAGGCAGAGGTGGTGATAATGGGAGCCTCGCAGAAGTTTTATGAGGCTCAAATGAGCTAAGAGGTGTGACCACTTACTAATAGAAAGTGTGCTAAATGCCATCAGGGAGCTGTGACATGAGAGTGGTCACTGAGCAGTGAAATGGTGTCATCACTTGGGCAAGTCCATTTACTGTCTTTCCAAATGATACAAGAAAAGTCAGCAAACGAGAGAGAACTCACAGGCTCACTGTGGCCTGCCAAGGTGGAAGGAATGTTTGAAAACATAGTGGCTACCCGCCTCTGATGTCCACTATGGCCAGAGGCAGCACAGTGTCCCCACTGCCCATCAGGACATGGCTCTGGCATTCACAGAGGGGGCTGCACCTGCGAGGTTCCCCCCAGTCTCTATACAAGACAGGTTCTGCATTAGGGTAGTTACCTGCTACAGGCTTCCTGTCGTCCAGGCCCCAGCTAGAAGGCGAGGGAGATAGGCTCTGGATCCAGTCAGCGGATGCTAAAAGCCTTACTGTTCCTGTAGACCACATTCCCTTCCTCAGTGGTGGACCCCAAGTATAGGAGGGAGCAGGGCAAAGCCACTCAAGGTCCCCATTACCTCCAAGTACAAGAAAAATGTTGAGTTCTCCTATCATCAGCCTGTGATCTTTGCACCCTTATGGGTGGTCTCCCTGGGAAAGCAATTATGTTTCTAATTCTTCCTCTTTATTTCCCAAAGGGCGCTGGGCAGATTCACTGAAGTCCTGAGCAGGACCTAAGCCAGCTCAGCCCTCAGCATCCGACAGCAAGGAACCCGGACTGTTGCCAGATGCACCTGTGGTAAATTACCTGGACCCAACCGCCCGCTGACTGGGAGGCCTCCCTCTCTCTCTCATCTTAAGTTTCTCACCCGACTCTGGATGGTGTGTGGTGTTTAAAGAAGGGGCTTTCTTTTTAGTTCTCTGGGGTCTGATAGGAACAGATCCGAGGCTTATCTTTGCACATGTTAAAGAAAATAAAAATGGAAAACAATTTCTACTCTAATGGAACAGGCTGGGCTTATGTGAGCTCTCTGCCTGGTGATAAAGACATCAGCGTGGGCAAGACTGTTTGCAGACTGCGTCTCATGGGGACGTCCCAGGATGCGGGGAGGTGGGAGTTACGGAGTAGGACAGACCCCTGCAGCCTCCGTTCCTCTGCCTACTCCCATTCAAGTCTGATTCACTTCCACGAGCCGATAAAAGCCATAGGTCTAGCGAGGATGAAGTGGTAGGGAGGCCCGAGGCAATTGTGAGAGCGGGGTTCCGTTTTGAAGAACTAGTTCTAGCCCTGGTCGGCTGTTTGAAGGGCAGCAGTGTGTTCTCAGCCCCGTTTTCTCTGCAACCCTGTCCTGCACCAGAGGCTCTTGTGAACTGCAGTCAGATCTCAAAATCTTTTCTACCTTTCTGCAGTTTCCACCATGAATGCAGTACTTTTTTTTTTTGGTAGTGGATGTTGTAAATAGGTTGTGTATGGGAGGAAGGGGGGAACAAGCCTTCTCCAGCCCGAATGGCTTCCTAGAGAAAGGAGTGGTCTCTTTGGAAGAGGCCGCTCCATCCCCTCCAGTCCTGCTCACCTGCAGATTCTCCATCAAAACAACGCCAGGTAGGTAGTTGGCCACCTCAGTATAAATGAGACAAAGGGCCAGTGAGAGAGGAGCAGTCTATTCCTGAAGTTCCAGTTTGGAGACCAGTTGATGGGGAGGGTAGAAATGAGTCCTCATTTCCTCTCCAGTAAGGACATGTCTTCCTGCATCCTTTTCTTTGGCCCGAGCGAGTTCTGAGTTCTCTAAGGCAGAGCTTCTGGCCTCACCTGCGTGCTGATAAGCATCAATCTATGCAGCTACTGCGGGTGAGGATTAGGTGTTCAAAGGGGGCAAGCAGTCACCTGCTCCTTTGAGAAAAGCGCCTCCCAGCTGAGTTCTCCGTGGTCCACAGTGGTCCTCTGTATCCTAGAGGAAGCTAGCAAAACAGAGGCAAGCGGAGCTGATAGTAGGGGCCAATCCAACAGCGCGGTCTTAAGGAGAACCAGGAGGAGGTGCAGCCTAGGTTAGAGTGCAGAACAGTTTTCTCTTCCTTTTCTTCCTTCTCTCTTTGGTCTACCTAACACTGGCCCACGAAACCGTGGTCAGGCGATCTCCACGCTTGCTCAGACAGGTTTGCCAAGATGCCGTCTAGAAGCCAGGCCTGCACTCCTGAATCTGCTGGCCACAAGCCCTGCTAAGATACACACCCCATCCTCTCTGTAGAATCTCTAATGCCCCTCCTCATCTCATCTTAGGCTAAAAACTTTTAAATCATGTCAACCGGATAATGCTTGCTTTATGTGAGAATTATTTCAGCAGAATGGATACAAATTTTTAAACCAGTCTTTTCATATCTATGTATTCTATATTAAAAGTGATAAAGTCATGTTTCTGGGGCGTATTCAAGTAGCTGACAAGTAATTATTTAATAATAGTACATTGAGTGCATTGTAATTATTCTTGCCGTATGTAGTCAGGTAATAGTATCCAACGGAAATTTCCTACCAACCTGCTGTATCCAAAGTTTTGTAAAAAGTTGTAGAAGTTGTTGATCTTTTTGATTTTATATTCAAAAAGTCTCTTTTTATAAATATTATTTATTATACAATGTATATACCTTTGAGTTAACTAAGATTATATATTATATAAATATATATATATTTGGAGAAAATATATTTCATCATGCAGTTTTTTTCTGTTAAGTCATTAAAGAGAAGGTCAACTTAAAATGGATACATTGTACAATGTGTGGAGTTTCCAGATTAATCCTCGGGAGGTCAAGAATATCAAGATCTGAATGTGGTAGCTTCAACTCTCACTCTTAAATTAGTGGCCCAAATTAAGTTCATTTCCTCTGTTCTCCAAGCAAGATAATCTGAGACGTCATGGACAGTAGGCCTCATCTACTCTAGGACTTTCTTACAGGCTTACTTTGTTCTAAAACAGCTTTTAACAAAGAATTTCCAGTTTTAGAAATAAGCAATTTGGGCAGTAATTCATTTCATAGACTCCAGCACTCCCAATACACAAATTAATGTCACAGACACTCAAAGATGTGGCTCAAGGCCAGCAGACCACGATGTTGGCCACTGACTCAATCCTTTCCTCACCCATGTTTTCAACTCCACTGGGAACATAGCATTTGCTCTACTGAAAACGAAACTTGACTGGAAATGGCTCTGCCCTGCTAGCTCTGCTGGAGAGCTAAGCCACACAAGGGCCAGGGTTGTCAGGAAGAAGACATGGTGTCCCCTGAGCTCTGGATTGTCTGGAACAAGTGTCATTTAAAGTTTTAGACTGGTCTGGGCAGAAAGGACCCCCAGTGGGCATGCTCTAGGTCAGTGGTTGGCATACTGGCCCCTTGAGTGTGGCTCTTCCACAAAATACCACGTGCGGGTGCACACGTACAGTGCAATTGAAACTTCATGGCCCATGCCACGGGGCCAAAGAGCCGCATGTGGCTTGCGAGCCGTGGTTTGCCGACCACTGCTTTAGGTAAAGGCATCCTCTCTTTGGATTGCAGTTTCAAAGGACTCACCTGAGGTCCACAAGTAACACCTTCTTAGCAATGAGATGCCATAACTCGGTTTTATGATAACAGACATAAAATGTCTTCAGACGACCCATATAAAGTCATCTTCAGTTTATTTGGCACAGTAAACATCTTTCCATCTTTCCTCCCTCCCTCCCCCCTCCCTGCCCCCTCCCTCTCCCCTCCCTCCCTTCCTTCCCTCCCTCCTGATTTACCTTTATTAGGAACAAATTCTATTCATCTAATTTCACAGACAACAACAGGAAAATAAAGCAGGCTGCCTTGTGCAGTGGAGATGGGTTGCCAGACCTCTAACCTTAGATTGGGAATGGCTCCTAGAAATTCATGCATTTTATTTGGTCCCTGAAAACCACAAAAATGGTTGTTTCAGCCGTGCGAGGCTTCGGACATGGAAAGTATACAGATCCCCTCCACGCTCTGAAGCGCTGTTTACCTTTGTATTCAGCTTTTATGTAAAGTTAGTACTCATCTACCCCAGTGTTCTGGGTATGTTTAAGATTGCCAAATATTTAAATGGCCCCTACTCATACTTACCAAGGCCATTTATAATCCTTTCTATGATTAATCATATTCTATGATTAAAGAGAATACAGTTTATAGCAGCACCTGAACATTTAGCATCTCTGTAAACATAAATACTAATAAACAACTAAAAACATAAGGAAGTTTTAAAAAAAGACCCAAAAGAAAGAAAAAAGACAATATAATGAGAAGATGTCTTTCAAAGCAGTATTATTTTACAAAGAAAGGAGGGGGAAAGTGTGAGCGTGTTCAAGGATGATGGGATAAGGTAAAATTAAGGCAAAAGAAAGAGGGTAAGGAAAAATTGGAGAAAAGCAAGGGAAGAGGTGATGGGTGGTGAGATTAGTCTAGCTGTATCCAGTGATGTATCCAATGATTCAGTGGGGTATCCCTGCCAGTCTTGGGTCTAAGGACTGTACATGCGTGGCTCACACACACACACACACAGAGTGAAGTTATTTCAGCAAAATGATGGGCCACCACACTGTCATCATTTCTCCTAGCTTAACAGAGAACTTTCTAGGACGCAAAAAAATTACCCATAAGTCGTAAGCTCCCCAAATAGGGAAACAAAGGCAGTTGTAGAGACTGTATACTGGGAAATTTCGAACATGAGTCCTTGCAAATCCTGTCTTCACTACTTGGGAACCTTGCCGATCATGGCGCTATCTCCTGCATCTCAATGCTATGGTATCCATACACACACAGCCCCAGGCCCTGCTCCAGGCTCTCGTCTCAGCGCTGCTTGCCAGCTGATGAGAAACTTCAGATCATTTTGCAATAACTTCTGAAATTTACATGCTTTTTTGAACTCTTACCCACCTTTCCCTGTCACTGCTTTGAAAAGGCTTATGGATCAAGTTGCCAGGCAAGGAAAAATGAAATCTTGCTTTTACCTTCTGTGTTTGGGCTGGGTTGGCTGTTTATAGCTGACTCAATGCTTCCCCAAGTGTGTTTAGCAAGATTTGATTATTATACACACTTGAATCTACTCCATGGCTTGTTGCTGAAACTTCAAGGGAAAGTTTTTAGGATATGAAAAAACAGACTTAAAGCAAAACATATTTCAGGTTTTAACTACCAGTATAGAGTTTTCTGTGTTACATTTAAAAAGTGTTTCAGTGAAGATGTACAAATTTAGCAAGAATTTTAAAAAAGGATAAACCTCTTTTTTAGGGTTTAATGACATCCTTTGACAAAAAAGAAATAGCCTGTTAACAGTTCATCTGCAGATGAGGAACAAGGCAGCAGCTAGCTGGAGGCACCTCTGCTTCATCAGCAGGTTAGCTGCAACCTTGTATGCTCTCTGCCCAGCATCGACCTTGGAGAGCTTCCAGACTCCACCTGTTCAAGGCTCTCCAGGGACCAGGGGGTCTCAAGGCCCTCCTCCCAGGAGGGTGTGGACAGCTCCCGGGGAGCTGACCCTGCTCTCAGAGAAGCTCTGAAGTTGGCCTCTTCCCACAGACCCTTGCTGACTTTCTGGGCTGCCTTTAGTCCTAACCTGAACCAACTCCACGGGCCAGGTTTTATTTAGGCTAAGAGATCTGATAGTTCAGAAACATGTAAAAAGGATGAAGGATGTGAAATGAACCATGGGAAGAAATCTCACTGAGCGTGTTTGAGCCCCTTGGTTTGTACATTTCATAGGAAGGAGTAATTCAACTTGAGAAACAATTTTACTTTCTGGTTTAACCCAGTTATGACTTGGGCACACTTCAGTTTTTTTTTAAATAAGGTGAAATAAGTAAAATACGTATAAAGATTCTTGTTGTGCATTAACTTTTAAAAATGCTATTGATCTGTTTTTTTAATGACTATATTTTCAAAATAATTAAAATCAGAGATTCCTTTTTTTTAAGAGAGAGAGAGAGGTAGAGAGAGATAGAGAGAGATTCATTTGTTGTTCCACTTATTTATGCATTCATTGGTTGATTCTTATATGTGCCCTGATCAGGGATCAAACCCACAGCATTGGTGTATCGGGATGATGCTCTAACCAACTGAGCTGCCCAGCCAGGGCCCAAATCAGAGATTTTTAAATAAAAATTATCCATCTCCTTATGATAGTTATAACAAAACAGCAAGAAGGTCTTTTCTGAGCCCTCTTCTTCATACATATCAGTTACATATATTGTTTTATATAAAATACTGGTCTACAGGATGTTTTCAAGTATATATACTCTTTATTGCATTCCTTCATTTGCATTAAACAATATAATATTTATATTTTCAATATAGTTTTAGACAAAACACAAAGACATGAACCTCACTGAATAAGAGCCATAAGTTAGTACAATGCATGTGGTCTTCGTGGGAAGAGAAAAGAGGCAAGAAAGAGCTAAGACAGATAAGGGAACCCAGGATACTGGCTACCAGGAATCACAGAATTTCACAATACAGTCCACTTTTTGAAAAGCCACAAAGAAGCTAGGAATGAAAAGTTGAAACAAAGTAGACATGACATACAAGTCTACCAAAAATATGCAGACAGTAAGATCTGGAGATAATTTGCCTTGTACCATGGGGACAGCTGACGGAGTTACACCCCAGTGCCACGGTGGCAGCGAGCTTCATGGGCGGTTGCAGATGGCTTCTGATTGCTTGTCCTCACATTTTAAGCAGCAATGGGAGGGAGTAGCATGCTCCATAGGGCTCATCACCAAATATGATGACCTATTTAAATTCCTTCTAACTCAGTTATAAGACAAAGCCTTTGGAAGAAACGGGAAGAGGGTAAAGGAAATGTATTAAGTGTATTGGAATGGATGTTAAAGGACTAAGGGGAGAGAGCTATAAAGTGATATTTTTTTTTATTTCTGGAGAAGAGTGTTCTATTTAGATGCTAGACAGTACAGATAATTAAAATAAAGGATACATTCTAAGTAAGTCATTAAGCTAAGGAAAAAAGAAAAGTGGTGATTGCTAATAAGCCTTTAGTATTATACTAAGGAACTGACCCATTTAGAGTTGGACCCTAATCAATGCTGAGAGGCTTGTAAGTTATTTTAACGACTCCTTTCTTTATAGGGGTATAGGCTTTTCCCATACATCTCTCACAAGTTTTTACCAACACCTGCCAGGTGGTACTGATTAGCATATCTCTCACCACAGAGGAAGTCAGTTACATTCAGGGGATGTCACAGCCCACACAGCAATACTCGTTCTATTAAGAAAGATCTGACTGCAGCTTGGAAACGTCTCTGAAAAGGATTGAGAACAGCATCTCAGAAATCCAAAGCCTGCCCAATTTCTTCAGGCAAAGGTAACAACCAGCTTTCTGGGAGAGCTTTAACCAAATGCACAGGGAAGTTGTAAAATAATCCCTGTGAGCCCTCCCTGTTCCTGGTTTACCTGTAGAAAGTCTTCCTACTAATAGGCCAAACGTCGTCCTGCAACATCATTACATTTATTTAGAGCTTTTGGGTGGAGGTGGAGGATGGGGCTTAACATGAGTAGTGTTCACAAGTACAGTGTCTCCCGCACTTAGAGACTGAGGAAGAAGGAATCGTCTTAGCTTGCAGGGAAAGGTAAGCACAGCATTCTAAAGCAGGTCTGTACCTTCCACAAAACAGTGGACTATCTCGATAAGCACAAGGAGGGGACTTTTATTGCACTGATCATGCAGAGTGAGCACGTGTTGAAGGCAGGGAACAATTCACTTCATTTAGGGTCTTGAGTAAATCCAGTGACGATCCCAGGCCCTCTTTACCTTGGTCACTATGTGTTTGCAAATAGTCCATTTTCAAAGTCAAGGGAGCGACTGAAAAAGAAATACCCCAAACACAAAAAAACAGATGAGGGTCTGCAAAAAGTCATTCATCACAAAATCACTAAGAGCTTCTTGAAGGCTTTTTTAAACTTTCCACTATGCACTTGCTATGAGATGAGCATGTCACAAAGGGAAATGGTCCCAGCTCCATGCATTTATAAGCAGGTTCCAACAAATATGTACCATTGAGTTTTCCCTGCCTTGTGACAAGGAGGTTTGCGAAGCAGGACAGGGAAAGCAAACCAACAGTACAACAACCAATGTCCTTGCTTGGTCTCTCAGACCTACAACACAGTGAAGAATTCTATAAGTGGAAAGAGTTGTCCAAGAAAGGTTGAGATTTGAAATTTATATGCACTGTAGAGCAAGCAGAGCAAGCAACTTGTAGAACAGGCACTGGGATTTAAAAGAGTGGTAAGTCTGGTTGACAGTCTTAAGTGTTGTATATACATACTTACGCTCCTTCTTCTCTTAAGAGAGCCAAGAATTTTCTCACACGGTATTCAGGATCCATCTAAATACATCAGAAGAAACAAAGATGATGGGTTAATGGTGCCTTCTAATAACTATGCACTTACTTCATGCCAAGGAAATCCTGAGCTTCAGACTCCCATCAGTGCTCTGCTGAGTCACAGAAATGTGCTACCTGTTCGTTGACCAGTATTCTGATACACAGGAAGCGGATTGCATCATTCAAGAAAAGTGAATGGGATTTCCTAGCAGAGAGAATTATTCTATCCGAGGTTCCAAGTGACCCAGCTAGTCATTCACAGGCACCTCAGCTGCATGCTCCCTTATGGAGAGTTATGTGAAGAGACAGCATGCCCAAGAAGACTAGTGTGAGAGCAGATGGCGGCCATTCATGGGGGCTTAAAAGGCGTCCAATTCACAGGACTCATCTAAAGCATAAAAGTGAGACCAAACTTGAAGAAACCAACTGCTGTTGCAATTAATAAAAAAAAAACCTTATGCTAAACCTAAAAAAATTAAGAGTGGGACTGACTCCTCTAACCCAGGATAATCCAAGTCTACTGTGATAAGAATGGTGTCATGAGTCTAAGAAAAGATGGAGGAGTTCTGGTTCAGGCTCTAGGTTCAGGTCATTATAATTAATTATTAAGTTTCATTTTATATTCATATTTAACTAATTTATTTAACTATATTCAATTTTCATTGGTCCACCAGAGATGTGAAATTATCTAAAAAATGCTCATGAAAAACATCTTTAATTCCTTGAGATGAATTTTTATTGTAAGAGACACACCTAACTTTTAAAATATGTTCCAGGCAGCAGTCTGTTTCCCAAGAGGGAACTCCCTGCCCTCCAGGAATAGCTTTCAAATGCTCGGTGCAGCTGTGGGTAAATGTGCAATTGGATTCCCCCTCTAACTACCTTTCTTTTTTTTTAAAGATCTCTTCTATCCCAGAAGTATAGAAGTTTCAAATGTATCAAAGTTAAGAGGTCAGACTACAAAGGACTAAAAAAAAGTGTGAATAGCTAACAAAAGAAACATTTTTCTTCTTTGGGAATAGAATTACATATGAATCAATTGTCAACTTCTTTAAAAAATGGAACTGGCTGGAGCTCAGTTGTAGTCAGTACTTGCAGGTCTTTGCCCATTAAATATATTTAATATGTGTGAGCAACGACTTACTGACTTGCCTGTAGCTATGGAATTAAAAGTCAAGAGAAAGGGAGGAAAAAAGTAATCTAGATAAATGACTTTATTCCCTCAGGTGACATCCAGTCAGAGCAGATCCTCGGCACTGTGCAAGTTTTAACAGAATTGTGTATAGTGAACAGAGAGGTAACATGACTTATATTCTGCTAGACTACGTGCCTCTTCACTTAGGCCCAGTCTCTCCAAGGCAGATCTAAAGAGAATTCACTCAGCTGCACGAAATCCATTTGACATGAAGGAGTTCAAACTCAGAGGCCTATGAAGTGTCAGTCGCTGAAGATTAGGCCTGAGTGCCCCACTCTCACTTTCTACCCCACATACACAAGAGACATTAACTTGATCACTGACCTGCAGGCATGAAAGCAAGAGGAAGGGGTTGGGATTGGGGGGAAAAACCCCGCATAGTTTCTTCTATGCAATTATTGAAAAAAAGTGTGTTGAAACTAAAAAAATGAAGAGTTGATTATCTGACAGGTTTATCTTTTTCCAAGGAAAGAGCCAATACATCTGTATATGCACTTTTACCAAGAAAAATCCTAAGCAAAGTGATTAGTCTGTAACTTTAACTTACTGCTCAAAATGGGAAATAAATAAATCGGCTTAAAAGTAGTCTGGCTGACAGTTCAATAGATTAAACTTTAGGTTCCCCCAAACCACAATTTTATTTTAAAATAAATTTACCAGCAAAGATTAAAAAGCATTAATTTTGTCTTTCCAATCTGTTAGTGGTCCAAGAGCCTATTTCAGTTGTAACTGACACCACGGCCGCCACCCACTGCTCACACTGATCAAGTGGCAGGGCTGAGCAGTAATACATATGCTTAGAATGTAGCCTAGGACCTCAGTAATTTCAATGCAAGTTTACTGAGCACCCTACTATGTGTCTGCCTCTGTTCCAGGGGCTGGATTCAATAGTGAGTAACAGCCAAGGTCCCTGAACTTCACTCACAGAGCTTGGTAAGGATACGTTTATTTTCTAACTAGATAAGCATAAGACACAGGATGGGTAGGTGGAGGGGTAGAGTTCCCCCCAAAAGAGAAAAGGCAAGTTGCCAGTAGACGTGAGAAAGGCCCAAAGAAGTTTGATCTTTGCCAGAGTAATAGCCGGGAGCTCGGTTTTCCTGTGGGTGCTTAACTATATAGTAGTTTGCATGACATTTTCAGGAGCCCAGGTCAGGGGAAAATAGACAGAGCCCAAGTCCAGTCTGCACAACTCAATTACTTTGTCTCTTAAAACAGCTTCCCAGGCCCCTGTTGGTGTATGTGTGGTAGCTGCCTGACCACTGATGGACAACATCATCCCTCCTCCATCAACTGCCTGTGACCCTGGATAACTCACTGACAACCTGTGGGACATTAGGTACCATCATCTCTAAAATGAAGGGCAGCAGAACAATTGCTCTTTGAAGTTCTTTTTAATTCTATAATCTAGTGACTCCCACCCAATGTTAAAACTTAAAATAGCCCTAGCTGGTTGGCTCAGTGGATAGGGCATCGGCCTGTAGACTGAAGGGCCCCGGGTTCGATTTCAGTCAAGGGCACATGCCCGGGTTGCGGGCTTGATCCCCTGTAGGGGGTGTGCAGAAGAAGGCAGCCGATCAATGATTCTTTCTCATCATTGATGTTTCTCTCTCTCTCTCCCTCTCTGAAATCAATAAAAATATTAAAAAAAAACAACTTAAAATAACTCTATAACCTTTTCTTCTATTTTTGAATTTTAAGAAGTGGTAAAGAAAAGTACCAATAAATTATTGTTTGATCTCAGGCTACTAATATCAACTTGAGTTCAGAAATAATATAAGGAAATTATAACAAATTAAAACTTTAGCAAACAGAAAGGCATATGAAGTTTCTATGTCTGAATTGCATGGGGAAGGATGAGACTTACCTGTAGGGACATCTCGATCAACATTAGCAGCTTCTTGATTCCTATCCAGACCTTCTTATCTTTTACTTGCTGTGCAATTATGGTACGTTCTTTATCCTTGAAGTTGCCCAAAAGCTATGAAAACAATAAAAGTAATGAATGCACTATTATAGTGAATTGACAATATTAGTTAATTCTCACATTTATGCTTAAAAGAACAATGATAAGGACCAGTTGACTGGTTCAAGTTGACAGGATTCTCTCCTATTTTAAAAAAATCTAACCTGACCTTTCTAAACCCATTAGGTGTAATAATGAAACTGAAAACTGGTACCCTACATCCTGTTTTCCTATAGGCCTCTATTATAACTTAGAGGTATATTTGCTGGGGGGAAAAATAGCTCCACCATTAAGAAATACCAGTTAAAATTTTTAACATTCCTTTCTAGAAACAAATTTATGTGTCAAAGCAGACTAAATTTAATTCTCTTATCCAACTGGCGCAAACGCTGCTCAAGAAGATAACCTGGAGACATTTATTATATAAATAATTTCTATTTTGTTGGGGGTATGCCCCAATTTTATGGGTCTTGAGGATTTTAAGGAGCCTTCACACTCGAACAAGTCATAGATAATATTTTCTAAAAGATCTCATTGAGTCACTTGTACACATTGATATTAATATAAAGTTTAATGGAGGATTTATTTTTTTTTATTTTTTTTATATATTTTATTGATTTTTTACAGAGAGGAAGGGAGAGAGATAGAGAGTCAGAAACATCGATGAGAGAGAAACATCGATCAGCTGCCTCCCGCACACCTCCTACTGGGGATGTGCCCGCAACCCAGGTACATGCCCTTCACCGGAATCGAACCTGGGACCCTTCAGTCCGCAGGCCGACGCTCTATCCACTGCGCCAAACCGGTTTCGGCGAGGATTTATTTTTTAAATTAAAAACTTTGTCATTCTCAAAAAGATTGAAGAAAACATTTTCATATTATGAACTTGATTATAAAAGTTCCTTTTACTTCTGTAACTTTCATGAAGTTCCTAAGATTTTAATCATTATTCCAATTTGTTAAGTAAATACAAGTAAATGGGCTGAAAGCTACTATGAATAACTGCATTTTCTATACTGATTACCATCCCTGCCCTCACCCCACGTTTCTGGTCCTTGTAATGTAGGTGCATCACTCGTGCTGAACACACAGTGACTCATTCCTGGCAGTTTGTGTGCTGCCCACACCGAGCAGAGGGAAGTTCACTCTAATTTATATTCATCTCTCGTTCCCCTAAATCATGAAAACAACTGAAGGGATAGCCCAGGTTAACATAGAAACTAAATGCCAGGTGCAAAGTCTGGCACCCCTTAGCATTATTTCCAGCCCCAACTCCTTTCTTATAAACGGTGAGCAATCCATTGACTCATTTTCACCTCCAAAGCTTCCAACAGCTGCTCTCCTGTGGCAATGTTGGGCACGTGGATGGTGGTGCTGAAAGCGGTGAGCATTTCCATCTCCTGAAGGACATCTTTGCGGCTAGTGGTCCCAATAATAAGAAGCTTGCGGCCCTGAGGATGGGGTGGGAACTGGAAAAAAATGAATGAATGAAAAGTCTGTATCATCCACTTAGCAAAGCTTTATTATGATTTTTAGAAGGAGTAGGGTACAAATATTTTACATGTCATGTAGCTTACTTGTGAAAGGCATGGTGCTAAGTACTGTACATAATTGTGTCATTTAATATTTTTAAATTTCATTTTTATTTCCAACCCCCAAAATATACCAAAAAAATGCTTAAAAACTGTACCAGGCTTATGCCACTATTCCTATTGCCTGTCTACAGAGGCAGCCACTTTCTTAGCTTTTTTCTGGTACTGACTTTCTTATCTTTAAATAACAAGGTTATACTACTATTTTAAGAATTTTGTTTTTAGCTTTAAATATTCTTTACTGACTTACTATTATGGAAGATGGTTATTTAATATTAATTTTGCATCCCCCCTCCTATATCCTTTCTCATCCTTCTAATAGTTATTTCACAGTCTTTGATTAAATCTATATTCATAATAAATCTATATTTATTATTATATAAACGCAACTTACAGCTAAGCCATATTAATTTCCTTTCTTGGACGACATTTTGTTTTTAGTGGAGTTAATAATTGCCATTTTCCTCCTTTGCTTAGTTTACCAGGTACTTATCACAAGTTCATCTCCAAACAAACACAACCATGAATATTCTTTTCAATATATTCAAACATGTTAGGAAATTCTAAAGTTGTTTTTTTAAAGACATCTCCCTCCTGAAGTCTCCTGTTCTCAGAGCTCAGTCTGAAATGACTGCTCTCTAGGCCTGCTCTGCAGCTGCAGTTCTAGAACTTTCCACTCCCCTCTGTTATAACCCGTTTCCTAGCCTTCCCTTTCCTTCATTTATTCTCTCTTCCCTGTGGTGCATATACTCCAAAAGCTTCCTAAGAAGCTTTGGTATATGAGAGTAAACACTTAAACATTTCTTTGAATGTCTGGAAATGCCTTTATTCTACCTTAATATTGTGCACACTATTCATAATTGACAGTTTGGCTAGGTATAGAGAACAAGGTTGGAAATAATTTTCCCCTCAGAATTTTGAAGGCACTCTATTATCATTTAATTTTCAGTACTGTTGGCTGGACGACTGATGTCATTCTGATTTTCTGACTCTTTGTTTCTAACTTGTATTTTAAAATTATATCTTAAAAATATAATTTTAAAGGAATCTTTTCTTTATCCCTATGTTATGTAATTTCAAAATTATGTACCTTGAGATCAAGTCTTTCTTTACTCATTTTACTGGGATTAGATGGGTCCTTTCTAAACCGGAAATAATCATTCAGTCCTAGGAAATTTCTTTGAGGTTTTCTTCTGTTCTTTTTCTTTCGTTTGTGCTCTGCCCCACCCCAAAATTTCTATTAGTTGGATACTGGTCTACTAATACTAATCTTTTTCTTTTCTATTTTTTGCTCTTGGTTTTTATTTCTTTCTCTAATACTTTTTAGGTTAGCATCAACTTTATCTTCCAACCTTAACATTAATCTCTGTCGAATTTCTTGAATCCTTTTTTTATTGCATCCTGTTATAGTTCATGGATACAATACTTAATTTTAGATTTCTGTGAATTCTACAAATTTTTTAAATGTTTTCTTCTTTGTCTCTGTTTCCTCTGAGTTTGTTTTTTCCTATTTGTTCACTGGAGGCTTTCGCAAGAGTGTGGTCATTACTTGATCACAATTAAGAGTTAAATTAATATCTGGGAGCTCTGAGTATGAGGGCTTCACTACAGGGTGAGGATCATCAGATAAGACTTGGCTGATGATTAGGGGTCCCTCAAAAGGTCAGGATGTATACACTTTTTCCCAGAGAAGACTCTTCCAATCTCCTTCCTGAGGGCTCTGAAACCTACTTTCCAGCATACTGGAAGCAGATGGGGAAAGGTGTCTGAGTATCTCACTGTTCAATACGGAGACCTTCATTTACTCCCATCTGCAGTATGGCACCTCTTCAGAGCACACTCTCACTTAATGTTCATTATAATACTGAGAATTAAGTATTAGCATTATCTCTATTTTACTGATGAAACTATTGAGTCTCACAGAAATAAATAATTTGTTGAAGGTCAAAAACTAAAAAAAGATGAAGCCAGGAATGAAAACCAGATCCAGAATCCAAAACTGTATCCTGCCTTTCTTCATGAACAACACATTAAAAAAAAAAACTTACTTGGAAAATGGAATACATTTTTAACTTATGTCACTGTATTTATATACACTCATTCCACAGACAAACCTTTAACACAATTATTAAAACTATTCACAGATCTTAGAAATTCAGCATTTTAAAACAAATATGCAAATAAATAATTATGTGTAAATTAAAATATAGGAAAAGATTTTAAGAAGTTGAAGAACAGATGCAAAAACAATTTCAATAAGGCATGCTACTGTCAATAAGACATGCTAGCCTGTCTCAGTCTTATTCATTGTTTTTGTCCATCTACTGTCCTAAGAATAGATAACGCGTCACTATAAACAAAGGCATGTCATAGAAACAAAACGGAACCCTTATGGTAGAATTAGTGATTAGCATATCAGATGACTGTGCAAGGACTGTGGGATAGACTTATACCTGTGTTCCCAGCATGAAAAGATAATCATTATTATTAGTGAAGAAATCAAGTAGCTACAAATCAAACACATTTATCAACAGAGCTTTACCAAGCTCCTAGATGAATATGGAACAGACCTTGTATCTATGGATGGATACAAGGGATCATCACAATACAACATGGCAAGGCAGAGATGGTGTCACAGTCTGTCATGGTGGAGGGAAGAAACATGAACATCTCCTTTTTTCGGAGGAGGTAATTCCTGAGCTGAGTCGTAAGGAATGAGGAGGTTGTTTAGGACCATGAAGGGGAAGGTCACCTCAAACCAGAAGGAGCTGAAATATGTAAGTCCAAAGGCAAAATAACATAAACAAAAACTGAGGTGCTGGGGTAATTACAAACGCGTAAAGACTTATAAATATCTACTGTAACAGAAAAGTGGTGCATTTACACTACATTGCAGGTACTTTTCAACACTAAATTCTAGTGGTAAACTTAGAAACACATTTCTGAAGGCTAAGAGATGTCAAAGGCCACACAGGCTGGAATATCCTTATTACATTTAAAGATTAAGTGGTTCTCTTTTTTCCTTAGTTTTTTAATGCTCCATAACCTGTAATTCAAACTCCCCACCTTGCTCCTCTCTCACAGACAACAATGCTGGCCCTAGAAGATGGCACTGAGGGAGAAGCTTCTTACTCATTCCAGAAGCTGGAGCTGCCATTTTCCCAGTGAGCCTTCTTCTTAGGCTCCCAGTAACTACTGAGTCTCACAGAAACTCAGTGTTGAAAGACTGGGAAATGTAGAGCAACTTATAATAGAGATGCTAATTTATGTTTTGCTATTCTTCTTGTTTAACAAGACTGCAAACACTGAACAGAGGTCACGACCCAGGCAAGTTCAGGCCTTGACTTGTAAAGCATCATCTTTACGAAAACACCAAAAAAAAAAAAAAAACAAAAAAAACAAAAACCACCCACACAAAAAAAACACAACACCACATTACGAAATAATTAAATTGTGCCGGGTCATTTTGTATATTAATTAGTGGAGTAATGCTCACGAGGAAGCTTTACCATGAAAAAGCAGCTCTGAATGTATTAATATAATAAATCACATTGGAGAATGTTTTGGAGAAAAAGCTGACAGCAGCATAAAACAGGAAGGCCAGCTTTAAAAATAAAAGTAGAGCTCAATCCAAAAGGGCAAATCTAACGTGTTAGTATGTGGCTACTAGTCTCAAGCCCACAGCGCCAAAACATGCTCCTTGATGGAAAGAAAAAAAAATGTTCCCAGCATACTCTTTACTGAGATTTGTTGGTCCTGTTGCAATAAAGAAAAGGCCTAAATAAAATGACTATCTGCCAATCGGATTATGATAAACATTGTTCCAAGGTTAAGTAAGTATTAGTTAACTAATTCTTAGTGCCATAAGAAGCAACTCAGGTGAAAACATTACCATGAAAAAGGCAGGGCTCAGTCAGGTGTTGATCCTTCAAAAAACACTTCTTTACATGATGAAGAATGAGCCAAGTACTAAGCAGTATCTAAGCCTTTTGCCACACAAAGGCCTAACCAGATAATCCACACCCTTTCATAGGTCTTGCCCATTGATTGGCCCCAATAAACTGATTTGTAACAAAAGTTCATATGGAAGAAAGCTTTTTTTCTTCTTAAATAAAAATGCCACCATATAATACTGCAGTGAAATGGAAGGGCTGATTTTAACCTGTGAACAAAAGTAAAGTCAGTTATGCAGTAAAGAAAGGCCATTCTTTCCATATCATTCAATGCTGAGCAAGTGTAATACATCCTTGGTAAGAAGAATTAACTGTGAACAATTGGAGACTCTGAAATGGATTAAGAAGTTTAAAAGTGCAACTCTAAACTGCTGTGTGCTGGGGGCCTTAAATTTTATTTTCTGATTGTTAGAAGTTGAGGTTTTTGTAAACAAAAAGGAGACATTTCAGGATATTAAGAATTTATAAACCCAGTAACCAAAAGATACAATAAATGAGTTGATTAGACCATTAACAAGAATTTTTTCTGTTCAGGTACTTATGGAATTATGTGATTTGGTTTGTGCCTTCAAAGTGATTATAATTTAGCCGGAAAGAGCAAATAAATATTCAGGGACCACTACCAAGTAACACATCAGTAAATACAAACTAATAATGGCAGAGGGAGCACAGCATATGGGGACAGTTTCATTGGGGCGGGGTCATCCAGGAAGATTCCTGTAGCACTGTGGAGACGCGACAAAGGAGGCGCCTGAGGAGAAGGCTGAGTCTCTAATGCTACTAAATCCTATGTGGGTGGTGGGGGCAGCTGAGCCAGAGTGCGAGGGCCTGGTAACAAAGTCTCCTTGGAGAGATGGGGAGTGGGCAGCCAATAAAAGGAAAACTCAGAATGCCACACTAAGGAAG